GGTTTGTGCAGAGCCACCCGATGTTTCTGAGGCCGATAATCCACTTGGGTCTGGCGGGAGAGGTGCGCATGCATAACGGGAAAAATATCCTACACTACTAGATGGAGGAGAATGAGGAGAGCCGGGTGAGCAGAGGAGGAAGCAGGGGCAGAGCGGATTCCAGCCTCTGAGAGGTCTGCCGGGGCGGCCCGCCCGCTCTTCTGGCAAAAAAGGTCCCTGGGATCTGTGAGGAGGCGGCTAGCCGATGGAGACGACTCGGACTGCAGCTCACGGTCGTGGCAGCTCGTTGCTAGTCCATCGAGCCCATGGCCGACAGTGTGACAAGACCCGCCACCCTCTGCGGGGAGATGCTTTCTCCCCTTCCAGGGCCCCGGCGCAGGTCAGCCCCTCGCCCCTCTTCCTTCGGGTCCCAGCAGCGGAGGAGACGGCCTCGCAGACTGGCCCTGGCTGAGCAGGAGGGACAGAAGGCGAGGAGGAGGTCGCAGGTGCGGAATCCCGGCGCCAGCTGATGCGGGTGCGCGCGCAGCTGTTGTTTACGAGCCGGTAACAGTTTCCGCGCCGCGGCGCGCGCAGGAAGGATCGGGCTGCCGGGGAGGGCGCCCCCTCCCCGGCCAGACGCGAGAGCAGCCGTTATGTGACCTCACCGCCCCCGGCCCCGGGCCCGGAGGGCTGTGCCCGCGCAGCCGCAGCCCCTCCCGTCCCTCCCCACTCGTTCCTCATTCGAGGCTAACGGTCCCAAGAGAAGCCTCGGGGAGCCGTCTGAGGGCGGTACCGTCCCGCAACCGCCCGACAGCCCCGCCCAGCCTCTGCAGCCCGCGAGGCACTGGAGAGAGCTGCGCGCATGCGCTCGCTCGGGTCGCCCCAGGACTGGAGGGCGAGGGGCAGAACCCAACACGGGAGGCCCGGAGCACGACGGGAATTGTAGTTGGGTGTGGGGGCCTGAGCTGCACGCACCAGGGATAACCACATCCTTTTCCTTCTTGGTTCTGCTGTGTTGCATAAACTCATTCTGGAGGCATCTCAGAGAACAGGCGACACCCTTTGCCCTCAAAATCTCAAAACCCATCTCTTTAATAAGACTCTCTGAAAATACCATTAATAATTTAAAAATCACTAACTTCCCAACACCATGTATCTAGGTATGACTCTTACTGGAATTTTTATGTAGAGGTGTATTCCTAAAGCATCGTATCCTCTAATTTATATACACTTTGTGGTACATTTCTTTTTCCTTTTTCTTGTCCTTTAAAAAAAATGCTGTCTTTCACAATATATACATCATATTAGGTTGTACACCTTAAATATATGCAATTTTGTCAATTATACCTCAACATAGCTGGAAAAAAATATTATGTTCACTTTCTAGTCAGACTTTAAGTTCCATTAAAGAAAACGTCTTTAATATTAGATCTGGAAAAGACATTTAGATACTTTCTCTTGACTCCATTTGCCGTGTTTTCCCTACTACTGTCATCAGAATATTTTTCTTAGCATGTTTATTTACTGCATGGATAGAGGTGTTGAATAAATTTTGACTAGCAATGTTTTGTGAGATGGTTATTTCCTATAGCTTTGATCAAGACGTTTAAATTTAACAATCAAGGCCCTGGCTTTGCCTGGGTCCTTGCTCCTCACAAGTGGAAATGTTCTTCCACTTGTGGAATGGTATTTAAGACCTGAGCCACGATATTCCCTTTTATCAAATGACACACAAAGTCCAAAGACTGGTAAAAAAACATCCAGGTAACAAAATGAAAAATAAATCCTCATTTAAAATGTAAACCTCCTCAAAACTTGAGTCTTTATAAAGCCTGTGATTATTGATTCAGGCTCACAGGCCTCCTACCTGAGGAAGCAAGAAATTCACCTCCCTAAGGGATCAGTTTTTTCCTCAGGCAGGCCTGCTATTCATTCAAATCTCACAGAATTTCCCTTTATAAAGAAGTGCTGGATCTTTAAAATACCCAATTTTGTTTCACAACAGTGTATTTCATCCATTTATATATACTACCTAATACCAATAAATTATACCTCTTAAGACTCTTGTCCCATTTCTGAGCACATCTCAGAAGACATTAATACCCAGGGGATCTCTTAAGGAAAAAGTCCTCAGTATATTCAAACCTGTTTGCCTTTTCTCCTCTCCTTTACTTAGGAATATTTCCAGGTTAAATTCTTTTCATTTCAGTCTACACCACAGGTAGCATGGAACAATGCTAATCCTTTTTCTCTGGTGGGTGAGGGAGTGGGAGTAACCTATAAAGACAGAATTACAGTCACCCTTAAAAAAAATTGGTAGCAGAATTCATTTACTAACTTTGGTGCTTAAGAAACTTCCATAGCAGATCCTTTTCTAGTCATTTGCAGAATTTTTAATATTTCTTCAATCATTATCCCCTTAATAGTATAAAATAACTCTCTAACATCCCTCAGATCCAATGCTAAGAACCCTGTAAGTGAATAGGTTAAAAAATAAGAAATTTTTAATTAACTCCCAACACTAGCTTGAAAGACAAGATCCCTGCTTGAAGCTCTCATATCTCATCTTCTAAATTAAGATCCATGAAGAGTTCCAAATAGCATCTAGCTGCCAAAGAGAATATAAAGTTAGGTGTACCTAAGAAGACAACTCCTTGATGGAGAGAACTAAAAGCCTGGAATTATTTCCAGAAGGGGTGTAAATATGCATAAAGGCATTCCTATTCATAATGGTTGGACAAACACTGTAGATACATTAAGAACCACCAGTGAACCCTATCAATTTTAGAGTTGGAAGAGAACTTAGAAAGGATGAGAAAAATGGGACTAAACACGTTAAGTGACTTTCTCAAAGTTAGACAAAGAGGGGAGAATCCTGGTCTCCTGACTTCCAATTCACTGCCTTCCCTCTACAAAACAGCTATTATTTTTCAAGCAACTCTTCCATTTTGAGTCAAAATTTCAAAGGGCAAGAAATTACTTAAATGACAACAGGGGTATTTTTCAGTGAATGTTAACCATTGTGGAAGCATCTTTCTTAACCCTTCTTCCCCTTCCCCAACATCCTCCTATCACGAAGAGCACAGCACGACTCCTGCTACAGCAGCAAATTAAGTTTTTCTTCCAAGTGGACTTGCTGTATCTTTGGGAGTACTCCTCCCTCTCATCTCCCGCGTTTTTGCTTTTATTTTTAAACCACTTCTTTCTTCCCACGACCTACAAAACAAGAGCTCTTTCAAATTATTTTAATAACCTGGCAGTGACTGAAAATACGAAAAGAAGATTCAAACTTGTCCCCTCTAAGGGGGATGCTACCATGATTGCCTCACACAAACATGATCAAAGGCAATGATGAGACGGATTCCAAAGAGCAGGGGCGGTAAGAAGGCTTCAAGGCTCACAGATTGAAGAGCTTCGTTTCGGAAAGTCTCTTGAGGCGTGGCAGGTGGCAGAAGAGACATGAAATTTAAGGGACTCTCAGAGGACAGGGCGCGGTTGCTGGGTCATGAGCACCTTGAAGCGTTTCTTGATGGTGATTCGGTGTCGAGAGTATTTGTCGTCTGGGGAGAACCGAGCAGGATGGGCCGAGCAGGTCTGCTGTCCCATAGGGTCAAGCTTCTGCTCGAGAAAGAGAGAACATAATCTTAGTACCGGAGTGATGGGAAAACTCAATCACTGGAGTCATAAGGGAGATGGAGGCTGGGATAGGGAGCGGGCTGCGCAAAAAAAAGGAAACAGGAGGACAGGAGACGCGACAGTCAGCTCAAGAAATCACACACTCCTGCTTCTACCACGCCTGCCTCCTGGGCCTTCTGGTTCCTCTCACCCAGCGAGGCAACTCGGTGCCTGGTCTCACCCGCTCCTCCGAGCTACATTTCTCGCCATGTCTATTTACAACCTGTTTCCTCCACTCACCTTGAGTGTATAAACCCGGTCTCCCTGCTCGTTGAGATAATACTGGAGAAACATGATCAGACTAAACACAGAGATTCCAACTCCGTCCGCAGCTGGGTCTAGCAGACGGCAGCGCGTGTTTGCCAATTTCCTTCCTGTGTAGCCGGAAGTCTCTTTCTCAAGGCATGCCGGGAAATGTAGTCCATTTAGGCCTTTCTCCAGCTGGCCGAAAGTGGGCGCCCTAGTGCAGGACTTGGCCCAGTTGCAACCCAGTTGCAACTTTTGCGGGCGTTGGCGCCCAGTTGCAACCTTGCAGGCGTTCTAAGACTCGTGGAGTATGCCCCCTGTGTGCCAGACACTGCTAGACTGCTAGGCATTAGAGGGGGGTAAGGATGGATGTGGGTTGAACATTGATGAACAGAATCCTGTCTTTATTTCTAGATGCACACCCATTTCAGGCGCAGTATGTTTCTAGAACGTGGAGAAACAATAGCTCCAGGATTCAGAGCCCCTTTACCTTAGGGAAGAAAGAAGAAGGTTTTCTTCCCTCCCCTCTTTTACATCCGATCCCCCCGCCCTATTTCAAAGTATTGGCGGTAAAGAGTGCATGATGGGTATTCAATATTCTGTACAGCGAGGAGAGCGTGAAGTGATTTTATGAAACTGGTGAAGTATATTTTGAAGTTGAACCAAGATTCAAACTCAGTTCTCTTTACCACAAAGTCAGCGCTCTTTCTTATGGTGGTGAGTAGCTAATAATAGCATAATATGATGCACCTCCGAGGGGGTATTTCGAAATTTTAAAGGACTGTCCTTATAGGACTCTATTTTAAAAAACGCAAATTGGAACCCAGGTATTACAAAGATGATCGTTGCAGTATTATCTATAATGGAAAAACATTGGAACATATATTAATTTTATAACCAGAAAAACTGAAAGGCTTTTTTTTTCCTTTAAGAATATAGTTTATATTTACTTGTAGTTGCATAAAATATCTCTGCAGGGATTCACATAATATTGGTTTCCTCTGGGATAAAGAACTCAGTTCCAGAGGAAAGGAGTGGGAGGGAGACTTGTTGTATATTCCATTTTGCATAGTTTGACTTTTGAATCATGCTGATATATTACTCATTTAAAAAATTAAAATTATTTGGAAAAATTTTAAAACAACAAAGTAATTTAACAAACAAAAAGAGGGACTTTTTGGTCTTGAAATATTAGGTGGAATGGCAGTTGATAGAGTGGGGCTTTTCAGACAAAGGTAAGGCTGAGCCTTCTGTGGAGTGCAGAGCTGATGGAAGTAGCCTCTTTGGGAACTGCAGGACAGCCTTCCAAGGAAATGATATGAATACAGCAGTGGAACACACTGGATTTTCTGAGACAATCCTAATTTCAGTCTGTTCCCTTGATCCTTAAGTACACCAGACTATGTGCTCTGAATTTGGTTCAGAAAATATTGCCAACATTGAAGTAAGTCAAGGGTCTGCCACAATGTACTATTAATAGGAAATCAGGTACAGAACTGGGTGGGATTGAAGGGTACAAAACTAGATATATTGGTGAAGCATTGTATAGGGAACTGAGATGTAAAACTATAATGCTGGGAATCTAAGAAGGAATTTACAAATTGCCCTAAAGAGGTACACAACAACTGTGTCGCCATACTCTGGTTTGGAGCAAATCCCTGGTTACTGCTTACTTACTAGAGTCATTTGTGGAATATCTCCCTACCCCTGACCGTGTATTCCCCTCTCCCCTCCCCCACTGCAGAATGCCTTAAGTCCTAGATTCTAGTTCTGTTGTAATCTGATTTTTACCCTCCCTTCCTTGGATCCCTGTGTATCTACTGGAGCCAGGTTACTCTCTGGGTCCTGGACCTGTCTCATTCTGGAGGCTTCCAGACAGCCTTGGTTAGTGCCCAAACCTCAGAGGATGGCTTCAGATGGAAGTAAGTCTGCAGGTGAGTGGGAGGCGGTGGGAGGGTCCCTGCCACCTGCTAGCATCCTTGGGGATTCAAATTTGACACTTTACCTGGGGACAAGCTCTTTGGGCCGACCTAGAGGGATGTGAGATCAGTAGAGACCCCACCAAAGGCCTCACACTGCAGGAGGCTGGGGAAGGGATTGTGTCATTAAGACTGGGGGCTGGGGAAGGAAGAGGGCCTCCTGGGAGGCAGATCAAAGCACCTCAGAGGAAAGTGCTTAGTATTGAAAAGGGATGGCAGTTAGCAACTTGCTTCTCTGAAAGAGGGACCCCTTTAACATGTGTTTGTGTGGCAGGGGCAGGAGCATGGGTGGGGCCCAGAGAGGGTTCAAGGGGAAGCCTCGAGTTCCTGTGTCTTCTTTAGGCAACTGGAGGCTGCTCTAGGATTTTGCTCTTAGAGAACTGAGCTGGGGCCATTCTGGATCTTACTGGGGGTGGCGGGGGCGGGGGGAGGGAGGCCTTACCTGGAAAACTGTTCAGTTGGGTTATCTGTTGCCAGGTCTGTACAGAAATGGCCTCCCAAAAGCTAGACTGGTATGTCCTATAAGTGCTTCTGCTCAGAGCCTCATGGCTCCTTCCAGCCCCAGAGATGGCTTCTCTCTCAGTTCAGGGAGCAGTTTTCCTTGATTCCCCAGGGGCAGGGGAGGTGGGTCACTTCACCTGGGATGAGAGTTGGGGCTTCCCTGACATGCTCTCAGCTTTTGTACCTTTTGTGGAGCTCAGGCCTTCAGACCCATTTCGTTGAGTTCTGTACTTAGAATGTTCCTGGCCCTCTGCTGTATGGGTGAGATGATGAGTTTGCTTATGTTCCATGTCTCCTTCATAGTCTGGAAGCGGAAGCTGAGTGTTGTTACTTTGCCAGTGGGATATGCTTTATAAGAGGGGGAAGAGAATAGCATGAAATTAGGCAAATGATCTTCTCTTGTTACTGTTAACAGTCCTAGGAGACACATGTCCTGATTAATTAAGTACATGTTTTATGTATTTATCGTTGGTCTCTTTGGACCAGAGTCCCAGTAGCTCCTCCTCAGCAGGTACTGTGTTTTGGACTTCATTATCAGTGCCTTGTTCATAGTGGACCCAACATTTCTGATATTAGGAACTGCAAGCAGAGGGATCACAGATAGTCTCCACTGCCAAATTTTAACACGTCCAGCAGCTACTTAAAGCTCTGGGAACGTCCCTCCCCACACTTCCCTCCCTTTGCTCATTTCCTGACCCTTATCTCTAGTCATTCCTGGCTGTTATATAATGAAATTTCTGGGAACCAAACATCTAATCCACACACCCTCTTCTGGGAACAGCGTTTCTGTGAGTGGTGGCAGAGACCACAGAGCAGTTAGGCATAGGGTTCAGGTGGTTTGAATGTGTTGGGAATGGGTGGGAATAAAAGATATACCTGTATGCTGGGTGGGATGTGTTATGGCCTATGAGCTCGTAGGTTCAAGGATCATTGCAGCTTCTCTAGTGCAATAATTCTCAACTGGGAGTAAGGGACATCAAAATCACTTGGGGGACATTTGCAAACTACATGAGTTCCACCTCCATATCCCCTACCTCACCTGTTGAGAATCAGAGCTCTGATTTTTCAGGGACTAAAGTTGAACTCTGATGACCTAACTTCTGGTCTCCTTTTTTCCTTCTCCACTCTCTCTTTTTCTTTGTCTTGCCAGCATCTCCGTTGCCAGGACCAGATGTGACCATGAAACCTGGCGCCACCCGATCTCCTTTCACTGCACTTCCCTTTCCCCCACCTGCTCCTGGCCCACCAGACCAACCACCTTGGGAGCTGCCTCCACAGCCCCCCATGCCTTCAGCTTTCTCTCCAGGCAACCCTCTGGTGCTCTCTGCTTTCCCCAGCCCCTTGTTGGTGACAGGGGATGGAGGCCCTGGCCATCCATCCAGTGGGGCTGGACCTGGCAAAGTCGTTGTCAAAGTCAAGACAGAAGAGGGGCCAGCTGATTCCTCACAAACTCAGAACTTGATCCTTGCTCAGACTGCCCTCAGTTGGATTGCCTCAGACACTCCCTGCGGGGTCTCCGAGGGTCCTCCCCCTCAATTCGTGACAGCCACTAACATCAGGACCCTTCTGCCCACTAAGGCTGTTGGAGTGAGCCAAGAGGGCCTCCCAGGCCTTCCTGCTCAGGCTCCACCACCAGCTGCCCAACTTGCCCCCATTGTGGCCCAGGAAAAGGCTTGGCCAGGGCCACCTGGGGCATCCAGGGAAGGAGGTCCTGCAGCCGCCAGATCCAAGTCCTCACTGGGTGACCTCTCCTATACTTCCAAGGGTGTTTATGAGAACTTCCGTCGCTGGCAGCGCTACAAAGCCTTGGCCCGGAGACACTTATCCCAAAGTCCCGATGCAGAAGCCTTTTCCTGCTTTCTTATGTAAGTGGGGAGATTTGAGAGTAGTTATCCTAGGGCTTTAAATAAGGAGGAGTTTGGGATGGACAAAAGAGATTAGGCTATTTAGGAATACTTGAGGGCAGGTCCTAAGAGCGATGGAGATGCTATGAGAACAAAAAGCATAATAACTATAATAATGATGATGATAATGATAATAAGCCTTTTTACCCACTTCCCAGATTATAACATTCTTAGAAGTGTCTTCTCTGGGTCCTCAAATCCTTGTGAGTTCAGACAAACATTTTTACGGTAATCCTCACTTTTGGATGAGAAGACTGAAGCTCAGGGAGGTTTCCTGTCATAGAGTGAGGAGAAAGGATTAGAATTTAGGTCTCTGACATCAAGTGCCAGAGTCCCTCCATTCTGGTTTCCTACCTTCTGACATGAGACATGGAGTTGAGCTGTGTAAACTGGCTAGGATGAGGAGTGTTGGACCCTGCAGGGCCAGGCAGATGACCTTGTATGTGCTATCCCCGCACCGCCTCCTGTTTTATTCAGAATTCAAGTTGAAATAGTGAGGTGGTAGAGCTTGCATAGTGGTCAAGGGCCTAGCCTAGGCTCCACCACTCACTACATTTGTGACCCTGACATTTAAATATCTTTGCTCTCAGTTTTCTTATGTAGAAAGGGGATGATTATACCTACCTTAGAGGATTGCTGAGAAGGTGAAATGAGTTAATATATGTGCAGTGCTTAGCAGAGTGCCTGGAACAGGGAATGCCTCATTAAATGGTAGCTGCTATTATTTTTATTATAAAAAGGCAATCTAGAAGAGAAAAAGAACTCACAAAAGGCCAAAGTGTCTATGTGAGTGGATGCTTAGCCGAGGAGCCGAGGACCCGTGGGCTGTGTTGTATTTATAAAGCAGTCATTAGCTATCTGAGGAATTTTCTCTTTTTCCCATCCAGACCCGCTGCCTCTGTCAACTGCACTGTACTCTGAACATTTTGTGTAAACCACTGCATAACACATACCACATTTTACTGGACTGAAAAAAATGTAAATGTTGTTTCTCCAGTGGTTGAACTCCTAAGGAATCTCCCTTTCCACCCTGACTCTGGGTGAATAAACCAAAAGGCTCCCCCAAAGTCCTTAGTGTAGATCACCTCACAGGGTCCCCGTTTTCTCCAGACAGCTCCGAGTTCTCTCTTGAAGGCTGGCAGGCTGACCTTCTAACTCTTGAGCCAGCACTGTTGAATTTCCAGCTCCTGGCCTCTTCCTGCTTTCCTCGCTCAGGGGCTCTGGGAAGGGTCGCTCCAAAACTGCTGTCCAGAGCCCCTGCAACAGTCACTTGGGAAGCTGGTACAATGCTTGGTCCTGGGGTGCTGTAATCCATATTTATAACAAGCTTCATCAGGTGATTCTAGACACAATAATGCCTGAGGACTGCTGGGAGGTCAGAAGGGCAAAAATGAACCAGAGAGCTCAGAGAATTGATATTTGATTGTGAGGGGTATCCCGGAGGCAAAAAAACCCCCTAAAAACCAACAAGTAAAAACACCACACAATCTTTAAACAGAGATATGTTTCGGGTAGTGAGTGCCTTTTATTAAAATGCAAGAGCCTTTGGACAGTTAAGCCTACTGTACAATAAGTCCCATTAATTTAATAACCTGTTATTATAACATTTTTATATATTATATAACATATATAATACATAACACATATATAACATATTATAATAATATATAATATATATAACATATGTTATATATTATATAACATTTCTTTCTGATGTTTTGTTGAGGAGAGCACTGTGAGAATTAAGGATGGTTTACTTCAAAAGGTGGGGAGAAGAATCACCTGTTTGACTTGTATGAGATTTGTAAATTTCAGTGGGAAGACAGGCCAGTCTGGTAAATGGATGAATGGGAGGTGTGGGGTCTGGAAGTCTTATCAGAATTGGGACATAACAGGGATTGAAGGGCATGGGGTGTGTATTGAGGTGGATGAGGGGGCACACTTGTGGAACGTGACTGACCCCCTGGGGGTTTTAGCCCAGTTCTTCGTTCTCTGGCCCGGCTGAAGCCCACTATGACCCTGGAGGAGGGACTGCCAAGAGCTGTGCAGGAGTGGGAGCGCACCAGCAACTTTGACCGGATGATCTTTTATGAGATGGCAGAAAAGTGAGTCAGACCGACCCTCATTCTCCTGGGAGGGCTGTGTGGCTAATGGATGGGGGCAGGTAAAAGAGGCTTGAGTCTGGGTGTGTGGGTGATTAGGAGGGGTGTAGAGTAGGATAGGACCTCTTGGATCCTTGCTGCTTTTTCCACCACCTTGACTCTTGGGTTTTTTTCTGTCCTGTCTCCTCTTGGAAGCTCTCCCTTCTCCAGATCTTGAATTATATAGGGGCCTTGATATTGAAGCTCTTAGGGTGGGATTGGAGCCCAATTGGTGTAAAAAATTCCATGCAGAAGGGACCTAAGAATGAGGAGGTAAGCCCTATTAGGCAGGTTCCTTCCTATCTGATTGACCAGGAAGCAAGTGACTACTGATGCAGACCTTGGGACCACTCCTCCTCTGGAAATAGTGGCACAGAAATCATTTACCCGTCATCTCAGGGAGGGGCAGGTTCTTGAAGAGGTTGGTCAGGTGAGAGTCCTGGGTGCCCAAAGTGGTGTCCTGGCTTATATCCCCTATTTCTCCATGATAATCTCCTTCATTAACAAGATAACTCTGAGGAAAATGAACTCTTTCCTCCGAGCTTAGCTTCCACTTTCTCCCCGAAATCTTGTGGATGCATACCTCCTAGATTTACTCTTCCAGGGCCAAGCCCAGCCTCAGGACTCCTGGATCTCAGCACTGTCTCCTGGCAGGAATTGCCTTCAATTGCAACCCTAGGCTGGCTACAGGATTTCAGCCATTCTTTAACATTTGTAGGCAGGGGCAAATGAGGCCTTGAGGAGGAGCCCCTTGTGGGATCCTGCCAGGCTGTGGCATAGGCCTGACGGAATTCAACAAGCCTGTACTGATTGCTGCTGCATACCCTCAGTGATGCTGAGTGAGGCTGGGTGTGAAACAGAAGTGAAAGTCATGGCTCTGTCCTAGAGAAGCTTATAAGCTCTAGATTGTTCATTTTCTTAACAAGCTTCCTAAGTGATGACTGCAGGTGAAGGGACTCTGTAGTGACCTTGTGAGGTTTCCCCAGAACTCTTATTCAGCCATCTGTGAGCAGCTCCCTCCTGGTGTCTGGGTTCCTGAAGGGTCTGGCCTCAGCGCTGCCCGGGCCTTCCTCACCCTCTGCAGGTTCATGGAGTTTGAGGCTGAGGAAATGCAGATTCAGAATACGCAGCTGATGAATGGGTCCCAGGGCCTGCCTCCTGTAGCCCCTCCGACACTTGATCCTCCAGGGCCCCTGGCCCCTGAGGTTTGCCAGCAGCCAGGTAAGGCTACCCAATTCCAACAGGAGCCGTGAGCCAAAGGTTCAAGGGGAGGCACACAGAAACCAGTCACAGGTTAGGGAAGGCATGGCCCTCACTTCTGCCACTTTACCTCCAGGGAGTGGCAGTTGATGTTCCAAACAATATGTACATAGGAGGCTGGGTTCTCAGGTTCCCTTGGTTCTACACTAGGTATTGATGTTAGGCCAAGTAGACTAACTACTCCCTCACCGAGACTGTAGATGAGGCACACAATACCACATCTGCCTAAGAAATGGGGGCTGTATCAGGGGACTTCTTGGAATTTCAGAGGTTCCAAGATTCCTCAGTGATTCTCTCTCTTAGACCATCTGGCTCCTAAATCTTCTCCCATGGCTGGTACTCTTTCAGGTTGGCTTGATCCAGCCTGGAACGATTTCGGTGTACCTAGATTGCTGTCCTTACAAGCACGGGATTGGGAGGCAGAAGTCGTAGTCTCTGTGCCACTTCTCATTTTTCCTCTCCATCTCTTCCCTTAGTGTACATTCCCAAGAAGGCAGCTTCCAAGGCACGGGCCCCCCGCCGGCGACAGCGCAAAACCCAGAGGCCTCCAGTTCCTGAGGCACCCAAGGAGATCCCACCAGAAGCTGTGAAAGAGTATGCTGACATAATGGAAGGGCTGGTGGGGAGCTACTTGGTCACTGAGGAGTCAGACGGAAAACAGGCAGAGGAAGAAGAGCAGCCGGAGAAAGAAGGGATATATCCAGATCTGGGTCTCCAGAGCTACATCGATGAGCTGTGTTCTCAGGAGGTCTTTGTCTCCCAGGTGGGCTGGGCTCGGAGGTCTGGTTTCTAGCAGATCCTGGGGTGGGAACTCCAGGGAACCAAAGATCTAGGGTTCCGCCTGGGGCAGTTAGGAACTAGGCTCTCTTCTGTACTGAGAGATGTCCGTGCATGCACGCACACATGTGAATTTGTATAGGTGGTGGAGGTGAGTTGGGTAGGGGGGCTCATGGCTTCTTCTCTAGAGCGTCTTGGCTCACAGGTTACCTCCTGTCAAAGACTCACATCACTTTTCCTTCTGTTCCCCAGGTGGAGGCTGTCATTCACCCTCAATTTCTGGAAGATCTGCTGTCCCCAGAACAACAGAGGGATCCTTTGGCCTTAATTGAGGAATTGGAACAAGAAGAAGGACTCAGTCTTGCCCAGGTAAACCTGGGAAGTAGGGAATATCAGAACAGGAAGCTTGCATGATTTTTTCTAACCCTACACTGTCTTGGATGGTATGACTTCTGTAGGCAAACAGCTTCAGGATTGGGCTTCAGGTGCTGAGCAAGTAGGTAAGGGACAGTGGTAATGCAGGAACAGGGGAGTGTGTGGGCTCAAAGCACAAGAATAAGGCCCAAGAAGGGAAGAGAAGAGCTACGGTATCTGTCTTTGATACAGTCACTTATGCTACTTGCTTGCATTCTCTGCTCTGCTTAAGTACCATCTCCTTACTACCCACTCAGCCAGCCCTTCTTACAACCGTGTATAGATCAGTATTTATCCATTCTCCTTCCAGCTGGTCCAGAAGCGACTCCTGGCCTTGGAAGAAGAGGAGGATGGGGAGGCACCTCCAAGTTGCCATGGAGCTCAATCGGACTCAAGTCTTTCTGTTTCTGATGAAGATGAAGATGGGAGTGGGCGGCTTCGGCCCTCATCTGGGTCTCGGGTGGCTGGGGGCACTGTTCGCCTTGGAAAGGCTGCTTCTCTAGGAAAGCGGGCAAGAGAAGTGCATGGTGGGCAGCAGCGGGCCCTAGATGGCCCAAGGGGGATGCGTAGGGATGGGAACACTCTGTCATCCCCCAGCAGCTGGGACCTGCAGCTAGAACTTGCAACTCTACAGGGAACTCGAGGACCCTTAGGTACAGAGAGAAGAGGGTCTGGGAAGGTTACAAACCAGATATCCCCATATCAGGATGACCACTTGGGAGGTGCTGGGACCCCTGCGCACTCCCTGGTGGCTGATAGGACTTCCGAGGCTCTGCCCCTTTGCTGGCAGGACAGCCCCCAGCTCAAGATGGTTCCCAGTTTGGATGCTGGCCTTGTAAAGCCAGCTCCTCTGCAGGGACAGGGGTTAGAAAGGCAGGTTGTGGGCTTACAGAAAGGACAACAGACAGGGGGTCTTGGAGCGCTTCCTCAAGGGAAGGAACTGTTGGCAGTGTCCCAGGAAGGCTCTTCAGGAACCATGTGGGAAAATGACAGAGGTCCTCCCCTGGCTCAGAGTCATGAGCAGAGCCCTTCCCCTAGAGCAGCTGGGGACAGGGAGAGGGACATGGATGGGGATGGGGCCTCTCTCAGTCCAGGACTTTGGCTGAGCAGTGAGATGGATGCCGTAGGCTTGGAGTTGCCCTTACAAATTGAGGAGGTCATAGAAAACTTCCATGATGGGGAATGTGGAACTGAGTACCAGGGAGGCTGCCAGGCCCTGGGCTCCAGAAGTAATATTTCTCTGGGTCCTGGAGAAACCACAGCACCTGGGGATGTGGGGAGCAGTGTAATTCTCTGTGGAGGCCCCAATGCCACAGCTGCCCTAGAAAAGAGAGACCACTGCAGCTTGCCAGAACCTCTGAGGGCCAACAGCCCTGCCTTGAGGCCTACAGACAATAGGGAACAGAGCCCTGAGGCTGTACAGGATCCCAGTGACCTGTGGGCAGAAGGTTGCCCTCCATTGCTGGGAAGCAGAATTGGTGCCTCCACACTGGGGGCTTCCAAAGAAAGCCTCTTCCCTGCATGTCAAGGTAATATCCTTACCCTGGGGCCCCAGGATACCACCTCCTTCCCCGAGGCCAGCCAAGAGGCAGGCAACAGAGGCAATTCCATTTCTCCCCTGTTGGAAACCACAGAAAACATCAACATACTAGATGTTACAGATGCCTGTGGCCTCCAGCTAGGGGTCAATGAGGATACCTGCCCACCAAATTTTAATTCGTATGACCCCGAAGGAGAGGGCAGAGAAGATACCGATTTATCCAAGCCTAAAGACCTTGCCCCCTCGCCAGGGAATCAAGAGTCTTATGCACGTGAGACGCCCAAATCAACATCTCCTTACCAGGGCCTTGGAAGCACTTCCCCTAGATGGGGAACCAGGGATGCCTTAACTCTGAGAGAAGCCTCCCCTGTTAGTGAAACACGCAGTTCAGCAGATGGGGCCAAAGGAAAGGAGGAGGAGGAGGAGGAAGATGAGGAACTCTCCAACTTTGCCTACCTCTTGGCCTCCAAACTTAGCCTGTCGCCAAGGGAGCTTCCCCTCAGTCCTCGTCCAGCCTCAGGCCTGTCCTCCAAAGGTAGGGGGGTCCAGAGAGCATCCCACTCCCTCTCTGCTGAGGCGAGAGGCCTTGGCCAACCTCCATTTCCTGTTGCCAAGTCTGGAAAGCGAGCTCTTGTTGGGGGTCCAGCCTCTGCAGAAAAGAGGCCCTATGTGGAAGCTGAACTTGGGGGCTCTGGGGAGAAACCCCTGACTCTGGGTGTGGTTCGACCCTCACAGCCTCGTAAAAGAAGGCGTGACAGTTTCCTCACTGGCAGAAGGAAGAAACGACGTCGTAGCCAGTAGGGAACATGGGACCATCTTATCCCACCTGCCGGTCCCTGAAGGTGGGGCCCTCGAGTATGTTTCACCCAGGCTGCACACCAACAGACTTGTTCTCAGTCTTAGGTTGTTTTGTTGTTCTGCAAAAGTGGCAAGTGTGGGAAGGGAGGTCCCCTTGGTGGGAGGTGAGGAGGAAGTACCTTTGGAAGGAGTTGTATGGGGAAAGAAATGAATACAGATTTCTTTTGTTGGAAAACGCTCTCAACGTGCCCTTTTGTACTCACCTCTTTGCTGGTAGATGGGGTAAGAAGCTGTAAAGAAGAAATTAGGTGGGGGTGGTCCCAGATTCTATGGATCCAGACACCTTTCCAGCCTCCAGCCTTCTCTAGACTCCCTGATAAGAGGTCCCCAGGGATCACTTTATTCCTCCCCTCATCAAAAGCCTGGACATCCTATCATTGTCAAGTCTCCCTTTAAAAGTCTATAGATGGAAAGATTTTTCTTTTTTTTAACCTACCAGATCTGAGATAGATACCTTAATTTTCTAAATCTAATTAATTTTCTATAATTGTACCAGGACACAGCACCTTTCTCTGGCGGAGGGTGGTGACTTTTCTTCTTTTTTGAAGAGACTGACAGAAGGGATTTAATGTCCTCAACTCATCCCACAGCAAAAATGCCTGTGTGGTTGGTCTGAGTTGCAGGAAGGCCTGGTTCCTATGACAAAGCTTTCTGATCCCACCAGGGGAGAGGGAGTCAATCTCAGCGGGATTATTAAAATGGAATGGCGGTTAGCTATTTTTTAACCTCTAATGAGGACAGAACGAGAGGGAATAGGCTAAAAAGAGGTTCATGGGGAAGCCTGTCAAAATGTGTGTCTGTAAGGTATGACAACAGGAGGGGAGGATATGAAATTTGCATGATTTCTCTGCAGGAAAAGGGCCCTGTCCCACTGGAAGTAAAGATTCATCCAGCTATGGCCAAGAGGACCAACCTTCGGAACCATCGGGATCTTCCAGTGGGAAGCCTGCAACCATTAATCCCTTTTCTTCCCAGCTAACGATACTATCAATGTGACTGCGCTCCATTTTTTTAAATAGATATAGATATATATTTATATTTATATATAAAATAGTTTCTTACCAAAAAAAAAACCAAACAAACGAAAAATGAAAATCAACTTAGAATAACAACAATAACAAAAAATCAAGCAGGAGCAGAGATGGGCTTGAGGCACAGGGTGGGCCCCTGGCCGCCCTGAGTCTGCGGGCTGGATGCGAGTTCGGGAGGCTGAGGTGGCTCAGTCGCCCTTCTGCTTGGGTGCCTGCACAGTCCCGTTGGCCCGAGCAGTGGGGCTGCCTGGGGATGAGGCATTTGGTATCTGGGAGGGGCGCAGGTAGGTGCTGAAGAGCTTCTCATGGAGCGGGTCACGGAGGGAGAAGTCCTGGAACTGACCTGGACAGATTAAGAGTGAGATGGGGAGTAAAATAATCCAAGAAGGACAGGAAGAGGGCGCCCCTGCTCTTCTCTCAGAATTGCTACGTCCTATCCCTCTCATCTCTGCTTCACTTCTCAAATCCAAGCTTACGTCGTCTCTACCTTCCCAGCTGGTTCCTCCCAGCCTGTCTGCCTCTCAGATGTTCTGATCCCCGGCCCTGGCCACCAGCCTTGTTCCCTCCCAGCCCAGGGCTGATGGTGCCCGGAGTGTTGCATGTGGAGCTGAGAAGGCAGTGACTTACAGAGGGAGAGGCCTTGGCAGGATCCTGCCTGGCACAGCTCAGCATGCAAAGTTACAGCAGCAGGGCGAGGTGACCCCAGCAGGAGGTGTAGGATGGTGCTGAAGCCGTCTCTGTACAGCAGGCGGGTGGGTCCCTCTGTTTGCTCCTCAGCGAACAGCTTGGAGAGAAAGGAACATGAGTCAAGCCGTCTCCTCATGCCATGGCCCCACTCTGCCCCGCAGGTCTGCCTCACACAGGCTCTTCCTCTTCCAAAAGTGTGGAGCACAGGCCCTCCCTGTCCCCTGGTTCCTTTCTGCAGAATTGTAAACTTCATAGCTTCTGCTCTCTTCCTAGTCCCAGCTCTGCTTCAACGTAGAGACACTGGGGCTCTGCAGTTCAGACACTGTGGCACTAGGGTGGACACCAAGCACTATCTAGAAGCTATTGGGAAGAGCACACACACAGGCCTCCAGAGGGGAGAGGTGAGCACAGGCATCATGTCCCCCCAACTCCGATACCTCAAAGGCCAGGCAAGTCAGTTCCTCCAGGCTCCTGTTCCCATCCAGAGCTGCCAATGCAAGGGCCACATCCCGGAAGTCCACCAAACCATTAGCATCCTGGAGGGTGAAAGAGAAACCAGGATTATGTGGGGACTAACCCATGTGCCCCTTCTTCTAATGAAGCCCTTCTACTCTGGATTTTGGCTCCTCCCCCTCCTCAGCAGCCACAACGGTGACCCCTATGTCTGCTTCCCTCAAAATTGTGAGCCCCAAGCTGGAAAAACTGGTTCTTCCCTTACTTAGCCTATGTGGGAACACTGGTCCAATGGACTAAAAGATCACTGGCATAATTTCTTACAAAAAAACCCAAGGGGGATGCATGCTGTGCCAACTCTATGGGGGACCAGGGGCATTCTGGTTTTGGTTCTGTTCTGCTACAGACTAAGCAGGGAAGCTCCTTTCAAGGACAGTCTGTCCTAATCTAAGAAATCACACTGATCACTCTGTCCCTTCAGAGTATGATGAGAGCCATGGTCTGCATCTTAGATCAAAAAGAGCTCCTTGGGACCACTGGTGGCTGTTCATAAACATTAGGAGTCTTCTGAGGTTATTATAATTCAACAGGAAAACCCAGTGTTAAGTAACAGGAAATAAAGTTTGCCAAGATTCTGGAGAAAGTTCAGGAATCCCCCGGAGAAGCTGTGGGATATTTTAAAAAAATCTTCCCAAGTACTGTAAATACTTCTGTGTCTCAAACTCTTAACTGCCGAGCCTGTCCAGTGTCATCTCCTCCATATGTCATCGTCCCACCCAACCTTCATGACTCTTCTCGGAAACCTTCACACAGTGCCCTACAGGGTCATATAATGATCCCCCATCTTTGCCAACCTCTAAAGTGGCTTCAGAAATTTATGGACCTCACTGACCCATTATTTCTCCACTGTTCCTCCACTACAAGGATTAAAACATTGATCCTCGATGCACTGGGTACTCTGTAAGAATGAAGCCTCAGTGAACCTCAGAAAATGGCCATCTAAGAACAGCTGTTAGAACACTCAGCACAAACTCCAAATTGGCCATCCAATGCAACTGACATGGCCACTCAAATACTGATCTTAAATCCTGAGCACAACAGCCCGGAGGGCAAGCTCTGGGCTCTGTCCTCTGCATCTTAGCTCCTTTTTACCTGCTGGAAGTAGCTGAAGGCACCGGCCACCGTCTGTGGGTCAGAGAGCTGTAGCTGCCTGGCAAACTCTTCCTGGCTGATCATTCGACTCCGGCCTGGCTCTGCTCCAGCGTCCACACAGCCAGGGGACAGCCTACAGTGGAATTGTAGAAGGCAGAAAGCTGAGTCAGTTTCTTTCTGGACATACCACCCAGCAGGACCTTGGCCCCAGCCCCAGGAGTTCTCATAGCACAGGTACATCTAGTGTTTTTCTAAGATATACTCTGACTCATAGTCCCTTGAGAGCCATTTCTACTTTTTTTTCCTGGGGTTATTACATATCTCTCCCTTTCTTTTTTCCTTCTTCCTTTGATTCCATTATCTTTTAAAAAGTTCCTCTATCTTCCTACTTTTTTTTAAGACTTTCCTTCCTCATTCCCATTTCTTCCTTTTCTTCTTATTCTTTTTCTCTATGTATATGTGACACTGCCCACACCATCATCTTCAAGGTCACTTACCCAGCCTTCCGAAGCACCCTTCTCAGTTCCCAGAGCTGTGGCTCCAATGCTACCTTCAGCCGGCCCACCACAATCACAGGCAAGCTCCCTACAAACTCACACTCGGTGGCTGGAATGCCCAGGGCCCTACAGGATGAAGGATGGAATGGAGAGGAAATGAGGCAGAAGAATCTTCTGGGGGTCCATTAATGACTCTGGCCTGTGGACTAGGGAGAGCAGATCCGGCACCTTTAACTGCCCCCACCTGGCCCCAAGTCTCAGCTGTCCTGTAGCCGTTCCACCTGCCCACTCCGCCATCTATGCCTCAAAACCTCAGCCCTCCACCCCTCCCATGGTTTCTTTGCCCTGTATATCTACTCCAGGAAATACTTTGTGGGACACTCACTGTGCCATCACCCTCTGGACATTGTTTGCATAGAGGGTGGGGTCCCTGCTCTCCTCCAGGCTGGGGTGGTACACAGGGAGGAACTGAAACACACACACACACCTCTTATCAGGACCTCAAAGCTAGGGGTGACCACCTCTATCCTCTTTCCCCAAGCTTCAGGGGTCAGCGGATGCCCATTCTCCCATCCCACCTAAGGGGGTCATACCTCCACATCCACGATGCTGCAGGGCTGAGAGGCTGTGAGCCAAAGGACTTTGAGTCTAAGAGAAGAGAGATGTCAGATGCTCACCAATCCCTAATTATGGGCTCCTCCCACCCAGAAGAGGGGAGTGGGAAAGTTCTGTCCATTGATATAAAAATGGATGCCTAGCCATACAGTCAGCTGGGTGACTAGGAAGTTGGGAGATACAAGGGTCAGAAAGGTGGCAGGGCAAGAGAAACACTGCAGGGAGATGCCAGAGGGAGAGCTGCAAGCGAGAGGAAGCTTGAATAACGGGGAGAAGGGAAGAGGCAAGCCTGTTGGTGGTGGTCTCAAGAAGGGATGACTGAAGGAGAAAATCACTTAGAAACCTAAGAAAGTAAGTTAGAAGGAGCTATAACCACAGCAGGAGTGATTAGGTGGCATAGCTGAAAGCACTTCCAGACTATATCGGGAGATCAGAACGAAACAGAGGCAACGGGCATCCCCTTCTCTAGAGTTCTCTCAGTCTGAGAATGAAGAAGGGCCGTTCACCTTGTCTGGAGATTGGAAGACGGGCCAGGAATTCTCTGACGGACCCTGCTCCCCACCCTCACCCCAGGAACACCAGAACTCACACTCCAGGGCCCCTCCATGCCCAGCTGGTGGTGTCCTATGGGAGAAGCAGAGATAAGGGGACAAAAACTTTACTTTTCTTCCCCGGAAGTGGCCTGGATTCTCTTTGAGCAGAGGCCCTGACCCCGCCCCAGCCCTACCCCCACATGCACATCCCATCATGCACTAACAGTTTTCAATGATTCCCACTTAGGGTGGATTCAGGCTTCAACAGTTCCCCCAACCCCCGCCCCCACCTCCTCCAGACTCACCAGACTGTTGGGGTAGCGGATGAGGACAGGCTGCACAGGCACCCCTGCGATGAAGGCTCCTAAAGCCCATTTCCACCCCCACCCCCCAGGCAGAGGTTAATGCATGGAGGCAGCTAGATGGCATGAAGTGTGGGGGTCTGGGACGGTTCTCAGATGAGATGTGGCCTGGCTTCATTTCATTTATAATTTTCTCTCTGACTCCTGGAGACTTTTCAGGGTCAGCTAGGAGGTTCCCTGCCTCCCTTCCTCCCCGACCCCTCCAGTTCTTGGGTTATTCTAAAGTCCCTTTCCAAATCAGGGGCTCCTTTTCCTTATAGTCCTACCACCCACTACTGAATTATTCACCTGGCTTGAATTTAAGCAAAGCCTTCTTGTTGGAACAGGTGCCCTCAGGAAAGAACAGGACCTGAGGAAAAAGCCAAGGGACCAGAATGAAGTGGGGAGGCTGAAGGCGAGGAGAGAAGAAGAGAAGCCTCTTCAGGAGCACAGAAAAGGCAAGCAGATCTTAAGACCCTTACCCACCTGGGGCCACTTGCCTCCTGACGTAGCCCGTCTTCGGACCTCCTCTACCACCCTGCGCCGAGAAGCCGGGTCATGACGGGACACTAGGATGGCTTGGTTGAAGCGAAGAAGGGCTGGGGTCCAGAGAGGATATAAGGAGTCACTTGGTTCCTACCTGGGGGCATTAACACCTGCAGCCTCCCCTTCCTCCACAGTAGGAGATGCTTCGCAGTTATCTTGTTGCCCTGGGACTCTCTTTTTACCGTGTGCTGACCTTCTAGGGGACTGACCAGAGCTGCCTCCAACACCTTCTCTAAGCCCCAGCCCTCAGAGCCTAAGAGGTTGGTTCACAAATGCTGTTAATCTGCATTTCATTTGCCAGCATCAGTCAACATCCCTTCTAACTTCTCCCTCCCCTGGCGGCCAGTTCTTTTCTCAAGTGTGTGCACGTCTCCACATTGCTGTCTTTTTTGCCCAGAGCTGTCGCCTCTCCCCTTCACCTGTTATACTCTCTCACCTCCAATGACAGGCACGGAAAGGTTTTCAGCTCGGGACACAACCTTGGGCAGGTCACAGGGCAGCAGAACAATGGGGTCAAAGAAAGTAGAGTGGGGGGCAGCAACAAGCACAGGGGCTTGAAGGCATGAGGCCCGCTGGCCCCGAACGCGAATCCGGAGGAAGCCCAGCAGGAAAAAGAGCAGGCGGCTGAGACCCAGCACCCCGTTGTGGCACACGGTCCTGCAGAGCAAGGCTGAGTCAGTGGAGGCCGCGATTCTGACCCTCACTCACCCTCAGGCTTTAGGCACCCAGGAAAGCAAGTGCCCTTCTTTTGCCCTCTGTTACTCTGGTCAAGGGGCTGAAGTCTCTGGCTATTTTGGGACATACTAGGACATGTCACTTAGAGTTGAGGTCCTTCTTGGGCCCCAGGTCTGAGCCTGGTGACTCATCTCACTGACCCAGGCTAGGTAGGAGAGCTTCAGAACCCTCCTTCCTCTTCTTCTCAGAGGGAGCAGAATGGATAGCAGGGAAGAGAAGTGAGCAGTAGGGTCTCTAGGGGCTGATCCCCCACTTACTTCCTCCATCCTGTAATTGGTTCCTGAAGCTGCTCCTCAGTGAGACCAGCTACTTGCAGCCAGGCAAAGGGCCAGAGGAGAAAGAGGACGATAAAGGCCAGAAGCACTCGGATGGGGGCCAGCAATGCTCCCAGGAGGCAGAACTGCAGAGGGTGGGAGAGAATGCCACTTCAGGGATGGGAGACTCCCTCCACAGCTGCCCCTCTCCCTTGGCTGCCCTTCTCCCATACAGACAGACCCAGGAGCAGAGAGCCATCACCCCCTGTAAATCAGGAGACACGTGGTTTGGGAACAGGACAGGGGATTGGAATCCAAGGTGGGATGAAAACACCAATGATGGGAAGAGGATGAAAGACTAATAGGATGAAGGGCTTCATTTTCCTCTTTCAGTTGGTCCCCACCCCACCTATAAAATTGAATGTCATATGTGCATCTAACACTTGGGAAGGCTGTTAAGAGGCTTTAATGATAACCCGTGTGAAAGCGTCCACCACAGTGCTTGATGTAGAGTGGGCTACAGATGCTTCTTCCTCCTCCCCCACGTCCCACTCCATAAATAGCTCTTCTGTCCAACAGAAACCAGGTGCATAGTTCTCCACTTTGGGCCTGAGAGGCAGAGGGTTGGAACACACAGAGAGGTCCACTTTTCAGGCCTCAGACCAGTCTCTAGTTCTGCCCAACGGCACTCCCCTAGTACTGGGGGATGGCAGAGAGAAAAGCTAGGCCTACTCCGCAGGGTAGGGGTTGCCAGGAGCCAGGATGACTCCACGGGCTGCCCTGGGGAGAATGCAGGTAAACAAATGGAGTCCCAGGAGCCCGCATCAGGGGAGGTGATGGCAGCAGAAACCTAGGGCACTCCCTTCCTACACCACCTCCCACCCAGTTTCCCTAGGTTGGTGCAGCCCTCCACTTCCTGTAGCCAACCCTCTTCTCAGCCTCCTACCCCCGCTCGCCCCCCCCTCCCCCGGAGGTGCTGCAGTGCGGGAGGTGGGGGCAGTGGATGGAAAGGGTGTAGGAAGGGAACGGGCGCAGGCTCCGGGCCCAGAAACCTCTTCCCTCTAATTCACAGCCTCGGAAAAGCACTCGGCACGCCCCTGCCCCCACCCCCGGCTTTCCGTAGCCTCCAGCTCCATCCTAGCTCATCGGTCTCCGCAGGATGTATTCCGCATTCCCCAGTGTCCTCCATCTCCCCGACCCCTGGGTCCCCTGCGGTCCTCCATCCTCACCTAGTCAGTTCTTCCATACGTCGGAGCTTGTCTATCGCCCAAGCCCGCGTCCTCCCCAGGACTCCTCGCCTGCTCCCCGCCGCCCCCACGTGCGCACACCTAGACTCGCGCCCCGTAAGCCTCTCACCCACCACCTTTCCGGATCCTCACCCTCATCTTTGCCAGGGCTCTAAACGGCCTCCTGCTTCTATCCCCGCGAGTCGTCTAGACGCCCCCCGCCCACAACCTTACCTTAACCCTCTGGAGGCGGGAGAGATGTAACTCATGCACGAAGGGGTTGGGGGGCGCTGAGGGTCCGGGGGTGGGGTCGAGGGGGGCCCAGTCCCCCGGACTTCCCTGGCTCATAGCGGCGGGAGAAGGTGGAAGGGAGGGCGCCCTGGCCCCAGCCCCGGGCCCCGCTCTGCAGAGCAGCGGCTGCGGCTGCGGCAGCGGCGGCGGCGCTCTGGCCCGGCCCCGCCTGGTGCGGGGCGCGGAGGGGCGGGGAGCAGGCGGCGCGGCCGGGCCGCGCAGTCAGGGAGCCGGCCGAGGGGCGGGGCTTCCAGCGCCCCAACACCCCGGCTCCACCGCGACCGCCGCGCCGCCCGCGACCCCTCCGGCCATTGTTCAGAGGCTGCCGGATGCTGGGGCGCGTTGCCGGCCTTGGGGCTGCCCCAGGCCTGGCCCTTCGGCCGTTCCTTTCTGAAGACCCGGCCGCCGCCTCCCCGCAGGCCTCGCTTGGAGCGGGTTTGGGGCCGCGGGGTGGGCGCAGAGCCGAGGGCGCCCTCCGACCCCGCCCGGGCGTCGAGGTCACCCCGCGAGTACAGATCGGGGTGGGGCACTCGGGCGGATGGGAATGGAAGGGCGGGGGCGCCGTGCGCCGAGGCCGGCAGCTCGGGGCAAGGCGGGGCCCCGGTGACCCCTCCTCGCTGGCGGCCGACCACCTTTCCTTCCTGGTCCAGGCGACGCCATCCAGGCGCTCGCGCCTTCTGCCGGCGGCTTTGAGCCTCACGTCTGGGCATCCGCGTCCTGCCTGCGCTGGGCCGGGCGCCTCTTCTGATGTGAGCACTCCTCACATCACACAGCCAGCAACACACAAGACACTGGCCCACATCTTTCCCAGGAACAGGGCAAGGCCTGCCTGAGGAGGGCAGTGGGAATCCGGGAAGCGGGGCTGACCCCAGAGGCAGCCTTCTTTTCCCTCTTAGTCTGTCTTTTCTGTCTCTGTCTCTGTCTCTGTCTCTGTCTCTGTCTCTCTCTCTCTCTCTCTCTCCACTGTGTGAGAGGCTAAGGTGTTACATAACCAGGTTCCTTTTTGCCCACCACCCAGAAAGCCAAGCACCAACATGACAAGATTACAGCAGAGACAGGGTTTAATCACAAGGCAGCCACGTGACGAAGCAAGAGCATGAGTCTCAAATTCTGTTCCTCGAAAACAGGGATTCAGGGATATTTATGGAGTAAGGGGAAAGGTGGTCTGAAATGTGGAGACAGGTGATTGGAGGTGAGGGCAGGTGAGGTGATTGATGATCTGTGCAAGCATAGTCAGATGTCATGCCTCTTCACAGGACCCATGGTCTCAAAATGTTGGCATTTGCGTGGTTTGAGGGTGGAGTTTTTAGCCTCTTGATGTCAAAAGGTTGCCTGTTAGACATCTGCTCAGGCCCAGTTGATAGGGTGGTGGTCTCAACTGGCCTGAAGTGGACAAGGAGTTCTAATTCATGAGAAACACCTCACGCACACATTACCATGGTGACTCAGGCTCCAGGAAGATGTTATCTATAGGAGCCTAGTGGCAGTCAGATAGCATATTGCCTAAACAGCACAGTTAACAATGGGGGAGTTAAACCACTGTGGGGACCTGGAATTGGCCACCCCAAGATATGTCTCTTTGGCATCAGGATTATTTGAGGCTCATTGCTTTTGATAAACTGGGACAGGGAAGGAGGCTCTGAGGAATGGAACTTGCCCTTTGTTAGGATATGTTTACGTTTGTAAGGTAAATCTCTATCTATAAAAGGTGCCTCCCTCTCTGTACCAGGAAGAAGAAAGGCGATGACCTTCTCTCTAGAAACTCTTAGTCAATACCAAAGGCAAGGACTTAAATCTGCATTTTATTGTGCTTCTCTGGTAACCTCCTGTAACTGACTTCCCTCCCCCTCCCAACGTTGGCATTTCTTTAAGGATTAAGCATGTTTCCTTAGGGAAGGAACTGATTGCTGTGCTCACCTGTGACCGCCCAGCACCAGACAATCGACTTGCCTCCTGTGAGGCCCACCAAGATAGCAGACCACTACCTGCTGTGTCCACCAAGCACTGTGCCGACAGGGCAATCTTGTGACTGTTGTGGGAGGGACATTTCAATCACATGTGAAACACCCTGTTTGGGGGTATATAACCACTCTGTGCACCCCACTTCTTCGGTGCCCTTTCTTCCTTCGGGAAGAAAGGCCCCGGGCCATCGTTCCTCATAAAGCTTTGTTTAATATTTTCTTGCTATTCTGTCTCATGTGAATTTAATTCGTTCTCCGGCCAGACGAACCCCCATTTGGGAAGAGGAAATGTCTTCTTCCCCTACACCACTAAAAGCTGTAATTGCAAAAAGGAAAAACACCTTTAGTTCCTAGCTACTTAATCATCAATGGCTAACTCTTTGCCTGGTTCAATCCCTTCTAGTCTTTGGTATTCTTCATTCTTGAGGGATTTGGGGCAACGACCCATCTAGCTACTTCCTGCTGAATTGGGACATAGATCTGGGTTAGAGGAATGAAACTGTTTAGCACTCATTTGGAAGCATTCTCTTGTTCCCTGCTTCATGCTGACATTTTTGTACTATTAGAATTTTGTATCTTGCTCAACATCTAAAACATCTAAAAAGCACATTTTATAATCAAGTGTCTGACCAGAAGGATAAGAAGTGTAGACAACGCAAATTTTAACAGTCCCTGAAAAATAGACCTAATCCCAGTGGGGCCTCCATCTAATCTCCAGGTGGGGTAGAGATCTGGTCTCAGTTCCTGATAATCTTTCGTTTTACTGGATATGCATCAGAGACCAGAGCAACGGCCTATACCCTGATCTTTCAGTTGTCATTGATGATGGCCATCAGCACAGACTCTCTGCCTTGGGGTCATCACATTCCTAAAGAACTCAGAAGAACAAAGTTATCAACTTACAGCAACTGTAAGTGTCCATAAAATCTATAGAGCATGTCTTGTTTAGTTAATCAGAGGTCATTGAAAGTTACAATATGGTTTCTTTTCAACAGTATGGCTTCCCTTATATCAACCTTCTGTTGACCAGTATCAATGTCCCCTTTTGTTGTTCATCTTCAATCTTGAAGGGTTATCCTGTTGATGAGGGGCATAGGTTGTTCCATCTCATTGAACCAGTCTTTTAGTAAGACAGTGGTGCAGGTAGGCTCCCAAAGTTCGGCCTATATTGTGTAAGCAAGTAACCAGGTATTTAATAAGAAGTGTTTCTAGAGATACAAAAAGAAAAACAAGATTAATGGTGGGAGCAAATTATAAACCTTTCTGAGCCCGGGCAGCAGCCAGTCAAAAGATTTCTAGGTGTCAGAGTTGAAGCATATTTTGAGATTTGAAATGTCTCTGACGATGTCATCAGGTATTCAGGTATCTTACTGAGTGTCTTACACAGCAACAGACATGAATCTCTCTTAAGTTTGTATCAAGCTGTCCAGCTTCAGGTTGCAAGGCTTCAGGAAAACGGCAGGTTCAGTTCTCAATGATTCCAAATGAAAATGATGGGAAAAAAATTGAAAGCATTAGTTTAGAGATTTGTAGCCAGATATTTTAAGAGACTAGAAGAATTCAGGATCCAGTAAGGTTAACAGATATAAAATAAAAACCTCAAAGACAATTATCAGAACTAGAACCTAATATCCATGAATGTGTACTATAGTTTTTATTGAAATATAATTTTTCTCTCTAAAATCACCCTCCTTTTTACCAAAGATAGTGAAAGTAAGACTAATTGATTTGCAAAATAAGTTTAGTTTCAATAAAACTGGCTCAATTATTTACATAAGTACAGCAAGACTAGCAATGGAGTATATAGGTTCTTTCAAATCTGCTTTTCTGGAACTTCTTATGAGGAATCTTAGATTGAGCTTTAAAGGCCTCTCCAGGCCAGAAAAGCCAAGCAAAGACTTGTCATCAGATTTCACTTGCAATACCTACAGATTTGGGTGGATTCCTCTCTTTTTGAGGTCCCCCCAAATATTTCAAGGTTCCAGGCATCTGCCAGATAAGTGACCTTCCTTACTTACCCATAAGATTGGTAGGAAACAAGGTACTAGGCCAATATTTCCAAGTGGCTTTATTTCCAGAAAGTCAGCCTTTATTCCTCTAAAGCTGTCTTGTCATATCTGAGTCTGTGTTCCTCTCAATTGTGGCATTCAGTCAAAGCCTTGGTAAGATAACCAATGTTTCCAAATGTGTCCTGTTATAAGGATAACAGATTCTTATTGAACTTATGCAAATAACTATATTGCCATGAAAACAGTACTCACTCATTAAGAGTTTCCAAATCCTGGAGGGATAAGATAGGGAGAAAAATAAATGTTTCAAATATGCTTACAAAGGCATAATTTATCAAACTGATATAAGTCACACTTAGCATGAGAGAAAAAGACTTCCTTAAATCTGGAAACAAAACAGAACACCAAAAAGACAGCAATATCTCAAATGAAAAGTCATATAGGTCATAATCATCCTCATCAGTTCATTCAGTCCTGTGTAATTGATTCTTGCTCTTCATCTTCCATTGGCAGTTTTATGAGGTCATCAGTTTCTCTGTTAGAGTTTTGTAATTTCTTACCCAGTTCAGTTTTATGATCTGAAAGTTTATCAGAAATTTGTATTCTAGAGTGTCAGAGTCCTTTCCATGAATTTCTCTGAAGACAAAACATATTTTGCAAAAGCATCAGAGTAAAACAATAACTGTCTGTAAACAACAAGATCCCAAAATGGCAACTGTCAAAGAAATTTGGTTAATTTTGTGACATAGAATACTTTAAAATAATAACCAGAATTATGGCTGATGACCAGGACAGATCAGAATTTTAGGAATGTTATATAATTTTTAAAACATTTATATGAATAACATTTACCCAGATAATACCACCTAAGAAGGTTTATCATCACTTACTTGACAATGCTTCCCATGTAATTTAACATACAAAATAAGCCTATTTAGTTCAATGTTTTTCTCCTTATAGGAAGAGAGAGCAAATTTCTTTGAGAAGTCTCAGGAGCCCTCTTAAAATCCTCAAGAGAAATTCTGTTTCCTCTTCCAGGCCAAGGGAAGCCTTTATTCAGGATTTGAATATTTTGTTGGTGGTGGGGAGCTTGTCAAAAATATCAAAAGGTTTTAAAACACTTCATAAAATAGGAAACAACACTCTGTTCAATCAAAGTGATGAGGAAACAGTCAAGGGCAAACAGTTAAAACAGTCAAAAATCTTAATAGAGAGATCTCAGTCTTTCTGA